TGCGGTTGCACCTTCTTCAAATTTCTTGGTTGCACCTTCTTCATGTACTCCTCAAGCCATAATATGGCTCTCGTGGGAGTTTGTGGGAGTTTGCGGTTGCGCCATCTTCCAATTTTGGTTGCACCTTCTTCATGTACTCCTCAAGCCATAATATGGCTCTCGTGGGAGTTGGCGGTTGCACCTTCTTCAAAATTGAGTGTCCACCGTGTATGTTGTAACGAGGGATCCTCCCTTCGTGGCAAAAAAAAAAAAAAGGAAAGAAAAAAAAAAAAGAAAAAAAAATGGCATTGACAAGAAATAAAAGCCATAAGGTATGCAAATTACCCTGGTGTTGTGAATTCCAAGAGCTGTGGTCCTCAAATTGTTGACAAAATTAGAGCACCAATCTATTTCAAATGAAAGGTATGAGCACGAGATGCAACCTGAAAAAAAGAAAAAAAAAATCTCTTTGAGATCGTCCTTTGCAAAAAAAAAAAAAAAAGAGAAAAGATCATGTTATGTGGAGACTACTGATTCAAGCTACAAGTTTTGAAGTGTCCCTACGAAATATTGTCCGTAGTGTGGCATTACCAAGTAGCTCTAGTGCAAGTGGTGCAAACGGGCAATAAGGAGGATCTATTAAATTCAAGCCCCGCAAAGTTATCCTGCGAAGATGTGCTCAATCAAGTTTTTATTTCTAGAAGGCTAATTGTTACAAAGTCACGAGTGTATCTGTTAGGCTATATGAGCTTATTAGATTGAGTAATTAAATATAATATAAATTGACGTGTGCAGCATGAATCCCAATTTGATATTATGGGTTGCATGTGCATTGGGTCAATTTGACGAAGCTACACCGTCGGAGTTTTGGTAACAATTAAAGTTTGACAAAACCCAATTTTCAGCAGCAACAAGTGCAAGAAAAAAAAATTCCCAGCAGCAACAAGTGAAAAAAAAAAAAATTCCAGCAGCGGCAAACGTGAGAAAATTGAATTTCTTAGCAAGAAAGTTTTCAGATGAGATTGTGAGTTACCTGGGGTGAAGTTCGCAAATTGTAATTCACCAAGAAGGCTGGAAAATCTCAGTGCGATTGGAATAGTATCAAGATGAAAGCCGGAAAACCTCGCAAGCTTGAAAACTACGCAAATTGTAGTTCTTCAAGAAAGCTGTAAAACAACAAACAAAAGCTTGAATGGCCTTGGGATTGGATCAATTATTAATTGCAACATGAAGAAACCACTGGCCGAATAGTTGCGACACATGCAATCCTCTGTGCTTGGCTTCACTAGCTTTAGTCGACAAGCAACTAAAGGTAGCATGGCAACATGCAAATTTCAGCAAGGTTGAGGACAAATTAAAGTGAAGGCAAGATTGATTATTACCTGAACTGGCCGATCATTCTCTCTGAGGACAAGCCGGAGGTTACTATTAGTTTTGAAAAGCTTGAGCAAGCAGAGGTTCTGTATATAAAGGTTTTGGGAGCTAAGGAATAGGGAAATTGATTCCACTTTCGGAAAGGGAAAAAGAAATGATAATTTTGTAAGCTATGGTTTTGGCAGTAGGATTCGGTTTCGGAAGTTGTTAACTGGTCATTTCCAATTATATGTAAGCCGACTTTAGCAATTGCCAACCTGCTGCAGTGATACCCAATTGGACATTTCCATTCCTTATTTCCAAGCATTGCCGGTTACTTTAAACATTTGAGTAATCTTAGGAAGAGGAGCATTACTTCTGTTTTTGTTTTTGTTTTCTCTCCATTTTCGAGGTGCTCAACTTGGTGGAATTGGTTTTGGCAATTATCAATTCATTGCAAGTGCTCAATGAATTCGGCAGTGCTCAACGAATTTTGCTCAATTCCAAATGAATTCAGCAGTACTCAATTCGGCAGGCACTTGCCCAGTTACCAATTCATTGCAAGTGCTCAATGAATTTGGCAATGCTCAATTTGGAAATAAGTGAATGTGGTATGTTTCTAATTCTCTTGGAATCAATTGCAAGTCAAAAGGGAAAATGGGCTCCTGTCTCTTTAAAGCATTGAAGCCACGGCAGTATGATTCTATACATGAATCAATTGGAAGCTACAAGTTTCGGCAATTGTGCTTCTTTAAATCAAGCTTAAGAAATCAGTTCCAATTTGGAAGCCACAAGTTTCGGCAGCAGTACTTCTTTAAATCAAGTTTGAGAAATCAATTCCAATTTGGAAGTTACAAGTTTCGGCAATGGTAATTTCTTAAATCAAGCTTAAGAAATCAATTCCAATTTGCTTGTGAATCGGATTCGGCAGCCATCGATCTTGCTTCCTGGTTTGAAACCTCATGCAAGGTGGTGAAAGTTAACATGTTCGGCTGTCTAAGGTGTAAGCTCCATGATAATCATTCAATGGGAAGTTTCCACTGAATGATTTGGTGGCTATGTTTGATTAAGCGGTGCCGTGGTCATAGAAAATTTTCCAAGTGCAATGAAACCAAATTGCAGTAGAAAGGTGATACCCCATTGGATGTTTCCATTTCTTACTTCAATATATCGCCGGCTACCATAAGCAATTACGTGAGTTTAGCAAGTGAAGCAATACATGTTTGACCGAACAATTGCCTAGAAGCTTAGTTGCCTAAAGGTCCGTGATTGGTGTCTTGGGATATTTGGAATTCTAAGATACAATAAGACCATCATTCGGACAACACCACTGCTTTGGCAATTACCAAATCAATGTAATGATGCAACTACAATTTTAGCACCTCGGGTTCAACTTCCAAAAGCAGCTATGACTTGAAACATAAGGAAGTTCGTGTATGTGAGTGCTTATAATAATTGGAATGTTAAGCTTCCTACTGATACTTCATTCAAGATTTGGCAATATCGGATTTGTTGACATCAGGCAAAGTGATAACAAAGGGAAATTCAGCATTGCTAACTCGGATAGGACGCACATCCTCTCTCTTGTAGGGGCTCTCTCTCTCTTAGAAAGGGAGCTTTTTCTTTCCTTGGTGGGAGACCAGAAAGTGCCAAAAAAGCTTTCAAGGTCAACAAGATCCAAATTGCTGGCGGTCTCCACGATCTCAGACAACCTTAAACAAAGACTTTTGTCCGGATCTACCACGAAGGAAGCATTTAAAGCGACTATTAAGTGACATTTACTGTGGTGTGATGAAACATAAAGGCTTTCTCATGGCCGGTACCTGATCTTATCTTTGCTTGTTTTTTATGCATTAGTGTTAGGGGCTTTTCTACACTGTTTACTTGCCTACCAGATCTGCATTTACATAGATAAAAAGCATATTTTCTGTTTTTCCGTATAGCTTTCTTGGTGTTTTCTTTGTTCTGTTGCGATAGTGTGTGGTATACCAGTTGTATCTCTTTTTAAGTCCCATGGCTGAGGAGTTGGCAGAAATACTGCAAAGCTTTGAGCTTTCGAGTAAGGAACTTCAGGTTACTGATGTGGGCAGGGAGGAGCTGGCCATAGGCATTAAGGAGTGTCAATGCAGCCTCATAGGGAAGATTATGGGCGAAAAGATTGCAAATTACACAGGAGTTAAGAACTTTGTTAGCACAGCTTGGAGCTACCCTAGAGATCTGAAAGTAGCAGAATTAGGGCCTAACCTTTTCCAGTTCATACTCCCAGGAGAGAATGACAGGGACAGAGTCATGAATGGAGGTCCATGGATACTGGATAGCCAGATATTAGTGATGAATAGATGGTATGAAGGTATAGAGGATGACGAAACAGCTTTTAATCTGGCACCAATGTGGGTACAAGTTTGGAATTTACCAGTACATTGGATGTCTAAAGAAGCTGGGAGAAGGATTGGTGCTGTGTTCCATCAAGTGAGAGATGTAATAATCCCACAAACGGGTGGGAAGGAGGGAAGACATCTCAAACTATCAGTACTAATGGACTTTGCACAACCTCTACTGAGAGGGACAACAGTTAAGGTAGCAGGGAATACAAAATGGGCAAGCTTTAAGTATGAGAGGTGTCCAGATTTTTGCTCTAAATGTGGCAGAATAGGCCACAGTGAAAAAACATATGATAAACCTGTGATTGTTAGAGAAGGGAAAAGAGATAATCAGTATAGGACATGGATGCGGGCTGGACATGGAAATAGGAAAATGTCACCTCAGAAAAACCAAACAAGTGTTAATTATAATCCCCAAAGACACCATTGGAGCTTCAAAAACGGGGAATGGGTGGAGAAAGAGAACCAGGAAGCTCCAGTGACAAGGAAAGATACTAATGGTGTGGGTGGAGGGGAACCAGGAATACCCACAGGAAGAAACAGAGATAGGATTGTGGAACAGAGACATGCTCAGCCTACTCCCACAGGCAGGGACATTATTACAATACAACCTGGATTAGGCCAGACTTCATGCATAGGAATGCGAAGTGACACAGAGGAGGAGGACGTTACACATTGTGAGGGAGTCAGTAGTATCACTAATCTAGAAGGTGGGGCTGATGAGACTGTAGAGGCAATGATCACAGATGAAAGAAGGCAAGAGGATAAACAAATGGACGTTGAACATCAGAAGATGGACCATATCCATAATGACGAAGGACTAATAGAAACTGAAATTATGCAGGTGGATACTGAGAGAGATAAAAAAAAGAAAGACACAGGGCTGAAGCAAATCAGAAGAATCCTGAACCCATTGAGGCCACCACGGAACAGAAGATCATCTATAAGGGATAGTAACAATAAACATGATGATCAGAAAAATCAAGTGAAAAGGAAATCCAATGAGATGGATGTGGAGATGGAATTTGTTGGAGAAGGAACTTGGGGCTGTAAGAGAAGTAAGAATGATAGTGAGGCTAATAATCGAAAGGAAGAAGCTGAGGGGGAGGGGTCCAACCCATATTGGACCCCAGAGAGAGAATGAAGGTGTTGGTGTGGAATTGTCAAGGAGTGGGGAGCCCCTTGACAATTCCCCAACTGAGGGAGGTGAATAACCTCTCCTCTCCAAACATGATTTTTTTCTGTGAAACCAAAAACAGGAAAAAATATTTGGAAAAAGTGAAAAATATGTTAAGATTCGATGAGTGTGTAGTAGCTGAAGCCATGAACAAAGCTGGTGGAATGGCTCTTTTGTGGAAAGAGGATGTGACAGTAAAAGAGGTTCTGATGTCTGCCTTTACCATTGAGGCACATGTGGAGGACCAAGAAGCTAACATTGACTGGTGGTTCATTGGTCTTTATGCGAGCTGTGATAATCAGGTGAGAGGGCAGCAATGGAAAGTGATACAGAACAGAAAAAGACTATGGGGAGAAAGGTGGATAATAGCTGGTGACTTTAAATGATATTGTCTCAAATGATGAAAAATGGGGTGGAATTTGGAGGGAGGAAAGAAGCTTTAGAGATTTTAAAGAGTTCATCAATGGAAACCAGATGATTGATATTGGATTTGAAGGTCACCCATGGACATGGTGTAACAATTGGGAAGTTGAAGGTGAAATTAAACAAAGGCTGGACAGGGGGCTCTGCAGTTATTCATGGTATCAGACTTTCGAACAAGTCAAGTGTCAACATATGGAGACCTATGCTTCAGATCACAGCATGATCATAATAGACACACGTCCAAGGCCAGGTAAGAGAAAGAAGAGATTCTATTTTGAAAAGAGATGGTTAAAAAGAGAGGACATTGGTGAGGTTATTAGGACTGCATGGGAACTGCAAACTGAAGGATCAAGAATGTTCCAAGTGACAAAAAAAATCAGAAACTGCAGAGTGGCACTACTGAAATGGAAAAATTCCTTCCAAGCAAACTCAAGAAGAAAGATAGATCAGATTAAGAGGCAAATGAGCGAGCTAAAGGACAGGGATATCAGTGCCAGCAAAGGCAGTCTAGCAATGCTAAAGGGGAAGCTTATAGAGAAGAGGAAGTGTATTGGTCACAGAAAGCAAGAATCCAGTGGCTCAGGGAGGGTGACAAGAACACAAAATTTTTCCATGCAACTGTGAAAGGAAGGAGGAGGAGAAATAGGATGAACAAGCTACAAAGAGAAGATGGATCATGGACTGAGAGTGAGGACGAACTCAGCTATGAGGTTGCCAACTATTATAGGAAACTCCTGACCAGTAGGGGAGAGGGGGACTTAACTGAGGTACTTGAGGGTATACCAAACACTATAACAATGGAAATGAATGAAAACCTCATCAAACCTGTGGAGGAAGAGGAGATTAAATATGCTCTTTTCTCTATGAGTCCTGATAAGGCCCCTGGGGCTGATGGTATGTCGCCAATCTTTTTCCAAAAATTCTGGGACATCATCAAAAAGGATGTAATAAATGCAGTCCAAACTTTTTTTCACAATGGTCATCTCTTAAAAAGTGTCAATCATACGGTCATCACTCTCATACCTAAAGTGCTGAATCCCACATCTCTGAACCAGTATAGACCCATTAGCCTTTGTAATACCGTGTATAAAATCATTGCTAAAATCTTAGCAAATAGGCTTAAAAATGTCTTGCATTGTTGCATCTGTAAAAACCAATCAGCCTTCATCCCTGGTAGGCAAATTTTGGACAACATTATGCTTTCTCATGAATATTTGCACTATCTAAAAAATAAAATGCAAGGTAAGGATGGGTTCATGGCTGTGAAGCTGGACATGTCCAAAGCTTATGACAGAGTAGAATGGAGCTTCTTGGATGCAATGATGACCAAAATGGGATTCCACAACAAATGGAGAAACTGGATTATGGAATGTTTAAGGACAGTAACCTACTCTTTTTCTATAAATGGGGATGTTAAAGAATATGTTATCCCAGGAAGAGGCATCAGACAAGGGGATCCCTTATCCCCCTATCTATTCCTTCTTTGCTCAGAAGGGTTCTCAAGCCTTATTAGACAGGCAGCAGGGAACAAGAGGATATCAGGAATGAGAATTTGCAGGCAGGGACCAAGTCTTACTCATTTGTTCTTTGCAGATGATTCCCTAATCTTCTGCAAAGCAAACGAGCAGCAAGCAACTGAACTGATGAGAGTGCTGCAAGTGTACGCAACTGCCTCAGGTCAACTGATAAACCTGGATAAGTCTTCCATACTCTTCAGCAAAAATATGTGTCCACATAAGAAGCATCACATCTGTCATATTATGGGAAACATGCAACAGGTAAATCAAGGCAAGTACCTGGGGCTACCAATGGTGGTGACTAGAACAAAGGAACAGATTTTTGGCTTCGTGCGAACAAACATACACCATAGAATCCTCAAGTGGAAGAATAGACTTTTAAGAGCAGCTGGAAAAGAGACAATGCTGAAGTCGGTATCCATGGCTATGCCCACGTACACCATGTCGTGCTTCAAAATACCAAAAAGACTATGCAAAGACATCAGCTCTCTCATGTCTAACTACTGGTGGGGGGAAGCAAATGGAAAGAACAAGGTCCACTGGTGCTCCTGGAAGAAACTAACTCAGGATAAGGAAAGGGGGGGCTCGGTTTCAAGGAGTTGGAAGCTTTCAACACTGCTTTGCTGGGCAAACAGGTGTGGAGGATTCTTACAAGCCCAAACCTCCTGGTTAGTAAGGTCCTGAAGGCCAAATATTTCCCTAGGAGCTCCATATTTGAGTGCAAAACTCCAAATAATGCATCTTGGATATGGAGGGGCCTAATGGCAGCAAGAAAAGTAGTGGAGCAAGGGGTTAGAAAGAGAATAGGCAATGGGAGGACCACACAAATATGGGAGGACAGATGGATCCCAGATACTACCACTGGAAGAGTGACAACTATGAAACAATGGGATAGCAGACTGCATAAGGTGGAAGACCTGATCATCCAGAAGAGATGGAACAGAAATTTGGTGTTCCAGTATTTTAATAAAGAGGACGCAGAACGAATCTTGAGCATTCCAATAAGTCTCGTTGGAAGAGAGGATAGCTACTTCTGGATACACGGTGAAGATGGAAGATACTCAGTCAGTTCTGGGTACAAGCTGTTGGTATCCAATAAAGAAAGGTCACAAGAAGAGAGTCAGAGGGAGGTATCAACAAGCTGGGGGAAACAAACTCACAAGATGTGGAAAGTAATATGGAGACTCAAGCTCAAACACAAGCTGAAGATGTTCCTATGGAAATGTTTGAATAACGCACTGCCTGTAATGGAGCTAATCCACGGTAGAACCAAAACTGGTGACCCCATTTGCAGAAGGTGTGGGGAAGAAGTAGAGACGGTTGAGCACTTGCTACTGAACTGCAGAGAAACAAAACATATCTGGCACATTGCCCCAATCCAATGGGAAGGGATGCAAGAACATCACGGCTGTTTCAAAAGATGGTGGATCTCTGTCACGGAGGCAAGGCATAGGTTAGCAGGATCGCAACATCTGGCCTTAACTGTCAACATTCTTTGGCAGATTTGGAAGGCTAGAAATGACATGGAATTTACAGGGAAAGTCCATCAGCCCTGGAAGATTATAAAGAAAGCACAGGAGGAATGGCTACAATTTGATGAAGTTGCAAAGATGGAAGCTAGGATGAGCACAGGAGAAACATCAACTCATAACAATGAAGACCAGCATTTAGAGCCGGAAGAGGGAACTGTGAAGATGATAGTTGCGGCAACAAGACAAACAGACAAACCTATCTTAGGCATTGGAATCACTGCAGCTGAAAGGAACCAAGAACCAATGATAGGATGGGCGCTAAACGAAAGAAGCTTAGGGGTACAGCTAGTGGACGATGCAGTAGCATTAAAACTGGCTATGTGCAAAGCAACTACATTGCACCAAAGGAAAGTACAGTTCCAAGTGAAGAACAGGCAACTCCTCAATCATATTCGAACTCAGAAGGCAAGTGACAGCAGAATAGCAACGCTGGTGGAAGACATTGTACAGTTGAAAAGGTTGTTTCATATGTGCTCCTTTTGTCTAACTAGTAGTGATAAAAATTATCTAAGCTCTAGTATCAGCATGTATGCCTTAGGCATCACAATTGATGAGGAATTGATGTTTCCTCGGTGTTAAGTACACTGGCTTGAAAGCCATTTCGAGCCTTCGCTCGCACTTGTATATTTTTGAAAGTAATATAATCAAATATCGTTTCGGAAAAAAAAAATAACAAAGGGAGACAAGATTTGGTCGTTTCCAAAAGTCCCCTACCAAAGAAAAAAAGGGCCAGTAAGAATTCTCATTGTCCAAGAAAAAGAAATGGATTGTCCAAGAAAAGGAAATGGATAGCGAGAAGATAGAAAACAATTGCCAATTGTCAAGGCTTTCCGATTGAGTGGCCATGCTTTGATTACTAAATGTTTAGGTGATGCAAGGCTCACAAAAGGTTCCAAATGCACGAGACTAATAGCAAGCAACAGATTCATTGTAATCATTTGGGTAATGATCCTACGCATTGCACCTTGGTGTAGACCACACGTGATTCAAGGGAAATCAGCCTCCTTTTATTAAAAAAAAAAATCAAGTACTTCAAGTCTCTATTTCAATTCTTGACAAGCAAGTCTCAATTGAGTCTTGAAGTGGGGGCATTTGTAGACAAAGAAATTTTATTTAATTTATTTTAGTCAAGATTTATTTAAACTAAATCGATCTTGATTAAATTAAATTAAATTAAATTATAGAAGTCCATCATGTTTTGGACTGGCAAATCGGGCCAATATTATATGGGCTATTAAATCAAATTAAATCCATAATGTCCGTTTAAGTTGGAGTGAATTAATTGATTTATTAATTCACAGTGGACTATCTGGGTTGGCCTAATATTTAAGTCCAAGTTAAATGGATTTCTTGGGTAACAAGTGATCCAAAATGCAGGAAGATTCTGAGGGTTTTTTGAAGACCTAGCCTACATATTTTGGCTATAAATAGAGGTTTTCCCTCAAGGCAAAGGGACACATAAGAAAAATCCCTAACATTCGGAGAAACTCTGTCAAATTCCCTCAAGAGCTTTCTTCCTCAAATCCAAGTCCAAGTCAAGTCAAACAAATCCTCCTGCTATCGGTGTTGGAGACTCGAAGTTCCAAGTGTTTGACGCCATCATCAAATCAATCGTTTTCTACGTCGAAATTGTAGGAAACACCCTTTCGATTGGAGAACAAGTCTTTTCGGCCCTTCAATTGAAGCTATTCGAAGAAAAGAATCAGGGGATTAATTTCTTTGATTCAAGAATTTTCAGAGATTGTAACCCGCTTATTATTTGATTTAATCAATTTGATATTTGTGCAAGTTTTTTTGTCTTTTATTTCAGGCAACAAAATTTGTGCTTACAATGTTTATTATATATCTTTTTAAATATAATAATTAGTATCTAAAAACAATTTATTAGATATTTTACTTATATCAAAATTACTATTTTGTATTTATAAATATTAAATTAGTACTCACAAATTAGTACCCACCTCTGTTGGATTCCATATCGGGTCGGGTTTAATAAAACCATTTTTGACGACGCTCATGAAACCCGGGCTACTGCCAGTGCCTGATGATTTTGGCGCCAATTCTCACTTCCCGGAGCAGAGCAAAAGCAGGAGCAACTGCCCTGCCAACCCCCTCGACCCCTCCTCTGCTGTAGTCCCATCACATCACACCACCTTCAATTAAATCTTCGTCTTCCTCCGCCTCGCCCAGCCCAATCCCCAGCCCACCGAGAAACCCTAGCTTTACCCTCTACGTTGGTCGGCCGTCCTCCTCATTCTATCGCTAGTCCCTGATGATGGACGAGCCCCAGGCCAAAAGGGCCAAAGTCACCAGGTGCTTAAGTTTTTTTCTTTTTTCAAAATTGTTTGCATTTTAAGTGATTTTTTTGTTGAAGTTTTTTGCATGTTCAAGTTTAGGGTTTTAGAATTTGTGTTCAAAAAGGATTTTTTGAACACTCAAGTTAGGACCTTTGAAGCACGGAGTACTACAGCTGAATTCTGGCCTTTACACTTGAGTATACACTCATAATCAAGATATAACAGTTTTCTTTTGGTTTTTTTTTTTTGAATTTTGCTCTTTAAATGGTTGAAATTGCAAATTGTGGAAGATCTTTTGACTTTTGGAGTAAACATCTGATGATTTTAACCCTGACCTAACTTTGGGGAGCCAGTTTTACTGTAAAGATTGTAGCTTTTTGAGTGTAATGTTCTGCCTTTCTGAGGTTTGAGCTGTAATGTAATGGAAGGGTTACATTAGATCACCTGGTTGTCATGGGATTAAAGTATAAATGTAAAAAAATGTGAAATTGGAACTGCCTACTTAGGGGTATATGTTGAATACTCTGACCACACCGATTGCAATGGCTCAGACCTTGTTTTCTGGCTTTTGGTTGTTTGCTATGCTTTTGAGAATTTCTGATTCCTTTATCACTAATTTCCTTATTGGATCAGATTGTCTCTAAGCCAAAATGATAAAAGTTGTGCCTGTTTTGGGCCATTCTTTCCAATTAATTTCAATTGCCATTTAGTTTATTAGTTGTGTGCTTCTCTTCTCTGTCTTTATTGGCTTGTTGATGCTTCAAAAGTTAGGCTCGTGTGCAAGTGAGTTTGATACTTTTCAATGCCTTTTTTTCTCCTCTTCACTAATTGAGATTGTGCCGGGTGACAATACTTTCTACCTGTCACAGGAAACTTTGCAATCTAATTTTTGTGTTGTGATATGTTCCATCACCTATCTCATTTTAGCAAAACAAGATTAGAAGTCCCAGTAATTCTTATCTCACTTCGGTTTTCCTTCCTTTGCCCTGCAGGGATACAGATGATTACATGCCTGGAAACATCCTTGAGATTGAGCTTTGCAACTTCATGACATTCACTACATTGTTTGAAAAACCAGGCTCACGACTAAACCTTGTTATTGGACCTAATGGGTCCGGTAAGAGCTCTCTTGTGTGCTCAATTGCGCTTGGCCTTGGCGCTGACCCACAGGTTGGAAAATATACCTGTACTACTGTGAATTCTGTTGCCTTTTTGTCATATTTTTATGATGACTTGCATATATGCAGGTTTTGGGGAGGGCAACAAGCATTGGTGCATATGTGAAACGTGGGGAGGAGTCTGGGTACATCAAAATAACTTTGAGAGGAGAAAACAAGGGGGAGAAAATCACAATTACTCGCAAAATAGATGTACACAACAAGTCTGAGTGGATTTTAAATGGTAAATGCCTCATATTACATGCAGACAATGTCCTTTAATTGATCTCCATTCTGAAGGGCTTGTTGATGCAAAAATTTTCAGGTTGTCTTCTTGGATTCTCTTTTTTCACATAATTACCCACTATTTGTAGGGCTGTAATTTATGGCAGGATTCTCCTCAATTTGTAAATTTGGGGTTAAAAATCTTGATCTCTGTACTTGAATTTTTTTAATAGCGAGGGATACAGGGAACAAAATATTAGGAAAAGGATACGAACTAAAAATAAACTGCCCAGATGACATTTAGTGCTTTCAAATTCTTCATAATTAGTTTGGCAAAGTACCAATTATAAGCCAAGCTTTATATAAAATTTCGGTAAAGGAGTTTGAGAAACGGTAGCCAGAGAAGTAACTACAAGTGCTTTCCAGTCATCAAGAAATATCTAGAACTGCGTAGATGAAGTTTTGATGCTGAGATGCTATTTAATTTAGTACCTTCTTGAAATATTCTTCATAAATCCTCCCTATTATGTGCAGATATGTGTATGCATCTCATAGCTTTATATATTGACTCGTTAACTTTGCATGTATACAGTTTCTGTTATTAATGACGTATTGTTGCAGTATGTATGCGCTGACTGGCCAGTATTATAGTAGAGATAGAACTGTCCTTTTTCTTGAGGTCATTATCTGATGAAAAGCTAAGGTAAATTTTGGAAGGTTTCTTCCTAATTTGCTGCTTCTTTCTCAATGTCATTTGAAGACTTTGCATAATTGAGGTAGTGCAATGTGAGTGATCTTCTGAAGAATTGCAGAAGTTTGCTTATGTATCGATAAAATTATACAGTTTCTGTTATTAATGATGTATTGTTGCAGTATGTGTGCACTGACTGGCCAGTATTATATTATACAGTTTCCGTTATTAATGATATATTGTTGCAGTATGTATGCACTGACTGGCCAGTATTATAGTAGACATAGAACTGACCAGGCCAGTATTATAGTAGACATAGAATTGTCCATTTTCTTGAGGTCATTATCTGATGAAAAGCTAAGGTAAATTTTGGATGGTTTCTTCCTAATTTGCTGTTTCTTTCTCAACGTCGTTTGAAGACTTTGCATGATTGAGGTAGTGCACTGTGAGTGATCTTCCGGAGAATTGCAGAAGTTTGCTTACGTATCGATAAAATTTTGGGTTGTGTGGCAGTTGCCAATCCTCAGCACCACTGCCATTATGTAATTTAAAAACATGTAGGGTGCCTTTTTGGTACCTGCCTGTCCTGGTTTGCTTATTGAGATTTGCCTCTAGAAAAGAATCATTTGAAAATGTTGTTCTCATCTCTGTTTTTGAAGCACTTTTATTTGTATTGATTAGTGGTATTTGATTGTAACCTCTGATAAATGCATATTCAGTTAATTAAATTTGGCATGTCAATACTAGCAGCTGCTTTATTCTATACAAGCTTAATAGCATTTTTGGAGTTTGAGAATGATTTAACTCTTATGATGTATCCACAGCACAGGAATCGACAGAGTTGTAGATTTTCCTGAATACTAGGCAAAAGCTCATCAAGAGTGTATTTTAGTGCTCCTGCTAACAAAAAGATGTCCATGACTGTAGTCAAAGTTCCTTGTAGTTTATATGCATCATATGAATACTAACTTAAGAAGTAATGCAATATTACTGGTTATATTTGTCAAAAGGTGACTATTAATGTGTGAAGCTTTTGCTTCAGGAAAGGTGGTGCCAAAGAAGGATATACTTGAGGTAATCCAAAGGTTCAACATCCAGATCAACAATTTGACTCAAGTAAGCTTTAAATTAATCCTTCGGATCTTAAATGTGGACATTTCATGTGTTCTATGCTTTCTACATGTTACACATATAATCGTTCATTTCCAG